GGAATACGGCAGAACTTTATTTCGGTAGCACACCCTCAGGCAAACGGGCAGGTGGAGGTGACGAACAGAGCTATAGTCCGTGGACTAAAAGCTCACTTAGCCCAAGCTAAGGGACTATGGGTAGACGAGCTGCCCAGCGTACTATGGGTACCGAACCACTATCAAGACCGCCACGGGTGAAACCCCCTTCAACCTCACCTATGGCACAGAAGCGGTAATCCGAGCTGAAATCGAGGTACCTACATTACGCTTGGAGGCATACGACGAAGAAGCAAACGATGACGAGCTCCGTACCAACCTCAACCTGCTGGAAGAAGTATGGGACCTCGCATATATCCGGACCGCAACCTACCAGCAAAGAGTGGCTCGATACTATAACGCCCGAGTCAAGAAGCGGCACTTCTGTGTTGGAGACCTGATCCTTCGGAAAGTTATGGCGCCTGAGCCTGGTATAGGTAAGCACGGACCAAACTGGGAAGGTCTCTACCGAGTAAAGTGGGTACTCGGGGAAGGTACGTACGAGCTTGAAACCTTAGAAGGAAAACAGGTACCTTGGGCATGGAACATCGTCAACGTAAGGCGATACTACCTATGATTGTTGAACTGGAGAGAGGACTACGAGTCACTCCTAGAAATCCAATGACTAAAATGCCGAGCTGATAAAAGACCTTGACACTATAACAAGTCCCAGTCGCCTCTTCGGCATGGGCGAAATCCAAAGGAGAGTGGACTGTGAGTCGCTCCCAGAGCCTAAGGGCCAAAGTATCGAGCTAACAAAAGACCTCGGCACCACATAAGATCCAGTCATCTCTTCGGCATGGGCGAACTACTTCCAGTCGCCTCCTCAGCATGGACATATAAGACCTAATCGCCTCTTTGGCATAGGCAAAGTACTTTTAATGCCTAAGGCGTAGACAGCTCGGGTTTGAGCCCCACGATGTCTAGCCCACTTCGGCATATAACAACAGGTTGGGCCTTGCAACGTCGCTCACCTCAGTGTACATTGTGTGAAGTTGCCCCTACTAATAGTCCTAGTCGACAGTTCGGGGTGAGAACTACTTAGAAAAATTTTACTTTGGTTACCCTTACTTGATTGTCCAGCTCGGTAGCTCGACAGATCGGGGTCATCCATACATCTATTACTTGGTTAGTTCGTCAGTCAGAAAGAATTGCATAGTATTTTAGCAAAAAGTGTATTTCATTAATATGAAGAGCTCATTACAAAAAGAGGGAGAGAAAAAAAAAGATATTAAGCTCGCAGACTTGGGGTACATAATTTGGAAGATCTACTTGTCAGGGTGCCCTTCGCCCTTGCCCGAAGCCTTAGCGGAAGAATCTGCCTTGTCATCAGCGCCGGCCTCTTTGATGTCAGGCAGCTCGTCATCGCTCTCCGCTTCAGAGTCCGGGTCATCGGCGGCTTCAAGGGCCATCTCTTTCGTAACCCGTGAAGTGGTGATGGCACTCAGACCAAGCTGTGGGAACTCGTGCCTGGTCAGCCATCTACTGATCTTGAAGCCCTTGCGGTAGCCCTTCGTCCCGGCCTCAATGAGCTCTCCTTCGAACTCCTTTGACCTCTTATACTCTTCAACGGCCTTGACTTTGGCTTCCTCCATGGCCTTAAGGAGAATCTTAGTTCGCTCCTTGACGAAGGCCTCGAGGTTCTCCACTTTGTGCTTCAGCTCCGCCTTCTCTGACATTAGCACCGAAATAAGCTCTTTCTGAGCCTGTGCATCATTTTCCAGCTGGTTGATCTTGTTACGAGCTAAATTTAGCTCGGTATGAGCCTCGCAAGACGAGCACTCAGCTGCTAGAACCCGCTTCAAGTGCAGCTCGGACTGGTATGACAGGGCATGCACAACGGAGTTCACCTGCCAAAAGAATATAAGTTAATACCAGCAAAGTTACAAGTACAAAATTGAAGAAGTAAAACAAGACTTACCACCATGTAGTGGGTAGCTGCTCAAGCCCCGAGCTGAGCGACCGATAATTCAGCCCAGCTTGTGACCTCCTCAGCATAGACCGCACCTTTGCTTTGGATGAGGCTATATTTCGGAGTCAGGATACTCTGAACTGCTTCCTCACTGCCCGAAGAAGTGGCTGTCGTAGGGGCGGGCTCCAAAGACGCCTCAGGCGCGCGAGGTGGGGTCTTCCCCGATTCCTCGACCAAGTCGATTATTGGAGGCACCGTAGAGGGCTGCTCGGGCCCAGGGATGGCGGGCTACGGAGACTCAGTGCGAGCTCTTTTAGAAGCTCGCTTCTTCTTCCCCTTCATCCGCCCAAAAAGCTTGTCCGCACCGAGCCTCATGGGAGTTGCAACAAAAAACGCGACGTTAGCGACATTATCAGGAATAAAGTGCCAACACTATAAAAAATGAAGTGCTAACTCTAAACCAAGATGACCTACCAGGACTCAAGCCGGCCTGCACGAGCTTATCTTCGGCGATGTAGTCCACGAAGTTGAGGTCGAGCTCCGCCCAAGACTGGAGCATCTCCCTTGTCTTCAGGTCCAGTCTAACACCGGAATCCTGAATAGTCGCCCTCCAATGCTTTGGAAAAGGCCACCCTGCGGGACTGCAGACCACGAAGTAACCCCGCTTCCAGATGGGGATCCTATTGGGTAGTTCGTGTAAAAGCTTGTAGCACGGACGAGGAGATAGATAGTAGGTCCGCCTATGCTCGGGAAGAACACAAGAAGCGTTCTTCTTGATGGACAAAATTGAAGAAAAGGTATCGAGGTTGAGGGGCAGGTTGTAATCATAGAATAGTGAAATGGTCCCTACTACATTACAGATGGAGTTGGGGTGTAACTTGTCTATGGTAATGTTAAAAAACTTCAAGACCTCTATTATTAAAGGATGCAAAGGTAAACGAAGATCAGCCGAGAGCTGCTCTCCAAAAATCACGATCTCGTTGTGATCGTGTTCCTAAGGGAAGTTGCCTGCAGGGAGGCTATAGGTGAGCTCGCTTGGGAGGTTGTACTGGTACACTAAGGCCCGGAGTCTGTCCATGGTCATCGTCGAGGGGCCAAAGTTGTCCGACACCCGACTTCGATGCGAAGTGGATGCTGGGTTATCTGAGGCCTCTCGCGCCTCCTGGGATGACTGCATCTCGGGAGGGCCACAGACTGCCTCAGGACCTGAAGTAGCCTCGTTTCGGCTATCGACCTGGGTCGAGGCACCTTCCTCGGCCTCATCTAAAAGGCTATAAAGCTAAAGCTGGACATGACAGCGAACTGAACTAAATTGAAAAGAAGAGCTAGGGAAGACTCATCAAAGAAGAACGACCGAACTAGAAGGAAGTGGCGAATTGGAAAACCCGAGCTAAAGAAGCTAAGTGCGACCTCAGATCGAAGGCTAGTAAGCTTATGGCGAAGAAAATAAGTCTCGGGTCCCCCCTATTTATAGCCACTGTACTGAAGAAGCAACGGTCAAGATCAAAGCAATCTAACGGCTCCTAAGAAAACTGGTTGCACGACCCCCGAGGTCGAAATCGGTTTAGCGCACTTTTTGGCGTCCGTGGAATTTATAGATCGTGTGACGTCCGCACGTAAACCACATACGACCTGGGTTATCCTTGGTTGAGACGAGCAAGCTGAACTAGTCTGACTGACGATCTATCCGATAGAGCGGCTTGAACTTTGAGCCAAATCCACTTGTCACATCGTGAACTCCCCGCACCAGGTCAAGACCCCTGGCTCGGGGAGTGGGGGGGCAATTGATGAAGGGTAATTTGGCCCGACCTCGTAACAGAGAGTCACGTGGGCGTGACTCGACACAAGTGACAACTCAGCATGGTCAGTTCGACACGTGGACGTGACTCGACATAAGTGACAACTCAGCGTGGTCAGTTTGCTACAAAGCGACCTCAGGTACCCTGTTACCCCGAACTAAAGTTACTTTGAGCGAAGATCATCCCGAACTAAGATCACCTCGGTACCAGACTGCGACCAGGATAGTGATACCAGATCCGCTACTAATCGAGCCTGGACAGCTGAACCACCTCGGGACAAGCCTACCTTGGTGCAAGATCACCTCAGTACTAAATTAAGGCACTTCGGCATTCACAACAGGTCGGGTATGAAGAACACGAGCTCAGATGATGTTCACCAACCGCCTCATGGTATTTCCAAGGATCTCACCACTGTACCCTGCGTCTTACGGGACCATGCCCTGTAACGGCTAGTAATATCTCACCCACTCCCCGATTTAGGTGGAAATGGGCAACCTTACCGGTTGGTGGCGTTATCCCCAACTAACACGGAAACGGATCCTGTCACAGCGGGGATCCAGGAACTACTCCACCAAACTCGCGAGGACTCCAGTATATGAAGGCCTCACCCCCAGGGGCGAATGGTATGCATAATCTCTTCTCTTTAGTCTTCTTGTATTCTAAGTTTTCATTAGCTCGCAACCAAGTATTGACTTAAGCATTGGAGCGACCTCGCTGGGTAAGCCACCCCGGGTTCTCTAATTTGGTTCTTGTAGATCAACCAAGTCCGTCGTCTACTAGGAGCCAGGTCACCTCCATCTAGGAGCAGTCGGATTGCGCTGCATCACTATTTATTTAAAAAAAATTGATAAAAAACTTAAAATTTTAATTTTATACGAATTTTGTGTATAAAATTGCTTATATATGCAATAATTAAATAAATTAGTATAATAAAATTAAAAAATATGTATTTTATTAATATATTATATACTATATATTATTATATAACTATATATAAAAAATATGTAAATGTATATAAATATATATAAAATATATATGGGTCGTGCCGGGCTGGGCTGTGAGCTGGGCCGTGTCGACCTGTGGGCCTCGAACCCCCAGCCCAGTATGGCACGGACCTCCATACGGGCCTGGCACGGCCCGTGGGCCTTCATGCCGTGCCGTGCTGGGCCGCGGGTTAGGGCCTATGCCTTTTAGCATTGGTTCGAACTTCGAGTGTGTGCACTCTTCCCCCCACTATATATACCTCTTCCCCCCACTATATATATACCATGGTATATAGAGGACGACTGGACGAGAATGATAGCGTGGAGTGGACCTCGAAGGGGATCAAAGCTCTGAACTCTCGTCTCCGGACTCCACACCTGCAACCACAGTGTCGCATCTGAAAACCTGTAACCCTTTTTTTTCCCTGAGAGAGAGAGAGGAATTTTCAGAATGCCGCAGGTGAAGATCATTGCTAAGAATTTCATGGACATGGTCGCCGCTTTACCTGCGATGAAGCTCGACAAGCTTTATGATAATACTTTCATCTGCGAAGCTGTTCTAAGGTCCCTTCTCTCTCCCCCTCTCCCTCAAGGTTATGTTAATTGGTAGTTATCGAGATGACGGCGGCATTTTGTTTTTGGACATTTTAACTTTTTTTTTTTTAAATAATTTAGAGGACACATTTGAATTGGAAAAATATTCAATTTTTTTCTCGTTAAACCGGGCTCAGCAAACAGGTAGTGATAACTCTAGCATCTCGTTGTTCAAATACTGATAGTTCCTTTATGGTTTATATTTGGCTAGATTGCATTTTGCCTTTTTTTTTTCTTTGTTCTCTATTTATGTATGCTTTGATAGAAGAGTGGTAAATTAAGCTCTTTGATAGTGAAACTGTTCTAACATTTATGATGGTCGATGCTTTTATCTTTACCAAACAGAAGTTTTTTTTTGTTATTTTTTAAATTTTGATTTTTGATCATTGAGTAAGGCCAAGTTATATGGTTTGGGGAATACGGAGCCAGTTGCAGAAATGGTAAATTTAAGCTTTTGAGTGGTCCTGGTGTGTATGATTCACACCAATTTTGGAGTTATGGTTGGAAATTAGTTTGCAGAAACTTGTACCCATGAAATAATAAATTATTTGATGCTTCTGTTTCAGGTCTTTGCCACCTCTTGCCAAGAAGTATGCTTTACAAATGCTATACATTGATGTCCCAGTACCTGTTAAGTCAATGGAAGAGTGGGTACTTCCGGATGGATTTTCTAAGCACAGAGTTGCCATTGATAGGCTAATACAATTAAGGGTATTTATCGAGAATACTGACAGGTGGGTCTAATTGTTTGTTTTCATTATTTTCACTTCCAGAAAAATGATCCATCTTTGAGCTATAACTTCTATTTTATGAATTTGAAGGCTACAATAGTTATTTATGAGTTATTTTTGAATATGTAGCAGTTGAAGACTAATTACGGTGAATAAATGATAAAAGACAAAAAAACAAGTACTAGTTTTATTGCGCATGTTCACCTTTGGATAGGAAGATTGGAAGAACATTTGCCCAGTTTTTGATGTGCCATTGCAACACATCCAAGGGAAATGTGGCCCATGGATGTATATGTAGAACTAAAATTCCACAGATTCAGTGATCCTAGCATTCAGAAAATGGTCTTTGTTGGATAAGATCCATCTCTCTGTTTGTCTAGTCTCTATTATTTCTGGAGTTCAAGAGTTTTCAGTTCTTACCCATTTTTTAATGTTTAGTCCTTTCTAAATCTGTCTATATACACCAATGCACTATCCTTTAAATTTTTGTACATGGTCTATTACTCCTTACCTGTCAAAAAGAGGATATATGTTTTTTCTGTAGTTTGTACCAAAAAGATGGGCTCAGGTCAATATTACAATTACATGGACTCTTAAAATGGACAATGTGTCTATGTTGGACATGCAACAGAGACTGACACTCCAAGGATTCTTGGTAACAAAGGCAACATTTTAGACCCCTTTTTTGCAGGTATACAATGTTAGAGATCAAACAATATGAATTATTTTAATAGTATATACTTTTCCATGGATGTGTTTTTAAGTCCATGTTTTCTGATCTTGCTGAGTCAGATTCTTGGACATAAGGCTGTAATCAGGTCAGATTTAGATTGGATCCAGTTGCATCCAAATCTGATCCATTACTGAAAATGTAAACCTGAATCCAATCAGATCTAGGGGCCTCGATTTTTTATGGTAAAACAGAGATTGATTAAGAAAATACAGGAGAGCCGAATCCATACAAAACAGAATATGATATCAAGACAGGACCACAAGGACACAAACTACAGCAAACAAAACCAGAGAAAAGAAGACAGAAAAACAATAAAAGTATATTGGTCCATTCAGAAAACTTTGAGTTGACACACACACACATATGCCTGTTATTCACATATCCATATGCATATGCATGCATATGGAGGTGCAATTTGTTCTTGACTATGATGCTTAGTGTCTGGCTTATGTACTATGTACATTGTCCTCTCAGTCAATTCTTTTAATGGGTGTAGGGTTTCTTTCTTTTTTATTTTTGATTTACTTAACAAACTTGTTTTGATGATTATTTCTGATAAAAAGAAAATAGAGGAGCTCATGAATCTCTGAATGCTTCTTTTAAAAATTTAGTTTGCACCTTGACTGTAGAGTTGTAGGTGGGATTCTTATTACATCAATGAGACCATGAATCACATTTCAGGGAACTGCAAACCATATCTGAGAAAGGACAAACTCAGCTAGAACCATTAACTTACATAATTTGTAAGCCAAATTAGGTCTATAATGAACAGTAGAAATTGATTAATGATCCAATTGAGTACATCTATTGGACAGACCTCAAAAGAGGGCAATATGAACGTTTCAGCATATTCTATTAATACCTTAAATGGTTATACAATATATCTGTGTGCAAGTAACACAATTTCTATTGGCAATAGGAGGTTTTAAGGTCCATGCCAAAGAGATAACACTTACCTAGAAAAAGGGAACTGACAACAGTGTTTGCTAGGCCACTCACTAATAGAACAACATAGATTTTTCTTGTTTTTGTTTTGTTTTTTTTTGGTTTTAATCGATAATTATAAATTTAGTAAACAGAAAAACAAAACATAATGAAAAACAAAGTAGTCTATAAAATAGCAGTAGGACACCAAAGATTACAAGAAGCAACATTGTAAATTTCTCTAATTATAGGTAAGAGAGTCTCCAATTCCTTCTATGTTCAGAACAAATGTATAAAATCATATACCTTTGAAAATTAGTAAAAATGATATATCTTAGTTTTGGAAGAAAAGCCACTGCTTTTGTGTGGTCTGGGCCATGAATTCTGTTCTGCGAAAGATCATATAATGAAAAGAGTTACACCACTGGGCTTCACCCAATTTGGGATTCTAAAAGATAACCACCATTTTTTTTTTTGAGAAAAGGTAAGGTAATTTTATTAAGACAAATAACCACCGAAATAGTCTCACCTTAATTATGTTGAGTACGATAGTATGATATTGGAATCATGATTTTTTTTGTTTAAATCTTCCATTTCTAATCTTTCCATTGTTAGGCTTTTATTAGGGGTGCAACTTTGGTGAACTTGGGTTGGGAATTTGTTAAAATTTGAATGGGCCCAGCTAGGAAGCCTGAGACTGCTGTAGCATGAATTCATCAAATTGGGCATCTGACTTGCACCCTAACTTTTTTTTTTTTGATGAGTAATAGTAAAATTTTATTAATTCAAAAACTGATTTAGAGTTGCGATTTCAAACAACATCCCAGGAAGAGGCGCGAGCTGCAGCCCCTCCTAGAAGCTTACAAGTAAACTAGGAAAAAAAATATAGGAATCACAACTGAGCCCAAAACAATTCTTCCCTATTTACTCCTTGCTTGGCTAACACATCAGACAGTATTTGCTGATCTCCCCACCCACTATAAAGAGATCAACATATTCCTTGTCAACCAACTAAATTTCTTCATTTTGTTCTTGTAGCACCATATAGCATCTTCAGGATTTTTCAACCAGCCCACCACCATCTTGGATTCCCCTTCAATTATCAGATGTTGTACCCCTAGCTGGTTTGCAAATTGCACCCCTTGTATAGTAGCTAATAGCTCTGCCCTGATAGAGTCTCCAAATCCTAAAGGATCCGAGTAAAGCAAGACAGTCTCTCCATTCTCATTTCTCAGAATGCTCCCCATTCCAGATAGTCATGGATTACCCATGCTACTTCCATCAAAGTTCAACTTCATTGAGCCTTCAGATGGAGGAGACCAGCTTGTAATTAACTTGTTCTCTAAGGGTGAACACCTTGCTACATCTAACCAGTTTCTCCAAAGGTCATTAAAAGAGAATTGATGAAAGATTTCCAAAGTCTTCAGCCAAAGTATTGTCCTATGCAACACACAGTCTTTCAGTTCTTGACTGTTCCTTTCCTTTTCCTGAAAAATTCTAGCATTCCTTTCTTTCCAAAGAGTCCAAATCAGGGCAGCATGAGCACATCTCGTCATAAGTCTCCCTCTTTTTGTAGGCCAAGAGAAAGTAGAATGGTCAAAGATCATGCGAACTTCTGCTGGTAAGCTTCAACTACTCCCAAACAACGAAAGTAGCCAAGCCCAAAGGTTTGCAGAAAGTGGACAAGATATTAGTAAATGGTAACAATCCTCCCCGTGAGCTTTGTAGAGGATACACCAGTTGGGAGAAATACAGAGGAAACATCTTCTCTTTTGTAAGCCCCTAACTTTTATAATTGACCTTGCCCCCTTACTAAACAGGCTGGAGCTCCAAAGGTAAAAGAAGGCTTTTTATGTCTTAGAACTCCTAGATAGGCTTGCTATCTTTTGAAAAGGGACATATTGAAGCTAACCACTTTTGAGTTGATGTTGTTTATTTATTAGTTTCTATTCTTGAACCACTAGGATTCCATGAATGTTATATTAGTACAACTGCTTTCTTCTGTGACTCATCTCAATCTCTTATTATACTTGTAGGAAAAGGGAAACATCTTATCTGCTACACCCTAAGTTTAAGAGCAATCTTCAGAAGTATCTAGTATATGGGTAAGTGTTTATTTCACTAATGCAGATTCCTACATTCTTCTTTAAATGGCGACAATTGAAAATTTATTAGTTGTGAAATAAAGAATAATATATATGTGATATGTGCCTAGCATCCCAAAGTGTAGGCTAGCTTCAACCACCTTTCCCTTCCCCCGTTTTACAAGTAATCATTTTACAATTGTCTCAGAAAAACAGATCCCTGTATTTCACCCCTTGTTTAGCCATTGTGTCAGCCAAACTATTTGTTGTTTTATGTGAGATGTGTTCACGAATCCTGCTTTTTTGGGTTCACCAAGTCAGATTCCGATTTTTGTGTCTTGTTCATGCAACACTGGTAGCAATTAGCAAGCGTTAAAAGTTGCATAACCTGAACATAAAATCAAACACTAAAAGTAGAATGAAATCAACATTCTTACGAAAGAAAACTAAGGGGCTAAGCCCTTGTTTGTTAACGAGACTATAGAGAGACTGGGCCGAATGGGCCCTAGTATCTTTTCTTGTAATATGTTATTTATTTATTTGTTAGCTAATGAGCCTATCTTTATGGGCCTGCTATTTCTTTTTTGTTAGTTCTCTTTATGTTACTGCCTAGTTGGCCGCCCACTTAAGGGCATACTTGTAATTAACCTAAGATTGAAGTTTAACAAAAGGATTAGAGAAGGGAGGGAAGAGATATTCGAACTCTTCTTCTTTTTCCTCTTCTTTTCTCCATCTTCTTGCTTTGTGCTGCTGTTCTCTATTTTTCTTTCTTCTTTCTCTCTAAATTGTACCAAGTTTATATCAGTTTTACTGGACTGATTTACATTTTGGTATCAAAGCGGGTTTCTTTTTCCTTCTTTTTTCTTTTTCTCTTTTTTCCCATACACCCTTCGATTAAGAGAGTGTATGGAGAGATAGGTTCTCTATAGTTTAGAGGACCTTTTGCCTAATTGGTAGAGGGTTTGGAGAGTTGTATTCTGGTCGGAAACTGCCACGAAGTGATATTGTACTGCTTCTGCCCAAAACCCTAGCCGATTAGAGATTTTCGAAGTTACAGATAAAAGTAAAGCATTGGGTGTGGCGCTCTGTGCTTGGGAGGTGCCTTTTGACTTCTAAAAGAGGGCAGTTCAGTTTTGGAAGAGATTAGGAAGCTCTGGTAGGAGCAGATGCATCTTTTCTCTTTCTCCCCGACAGCCGGGCGTAGTGAAACCTTAGTTTTCAAGCATTTGGGTACTGGTTTGACTTCAAGTAAGTTTATAAAGATTAGATTTTTGGTTTTTTTGATTTTCGTTTGATTAATGGAGCAATACGGAAGTGAGTTCAAGCAGGTGCCTATTTCTGGGCTTGGCTCGATAGATTCCGTTTTGACTGGTGTGACCACAATTAAGCTAGATGGAACCAATTATCTTGCTTGGGCACAGTCTATAAGGATTTGTCTGTAGTAGAGGAAAATTAGGGTATCTCACTGGCAGTAAGGTGAAACCCGAAGAGACAAACCCTGAATTTGAGAAATGGATCCAAGAGAACTATACAGTCATAGGATGGTTGGTCAACTCTATACAGCTTCATATCAGTCAGCACTATCTCTGGATGTCTTCGGCCAAGGAGATCTGGGACAGTGTTACTGAAACCTATTCACAGAAGATGAATGTGGCTAGAGTCTACAAGCTGAAAAGTGATGTGAAGAACCTAAGGCAGGGGGAGAAGAGTGTGGTAATCTATTATTCTATGCTGAAATCCCTATGACAGGAAATTGATGTTATGGAGACAGTTGTATGGGTGAGTACGAAGGATGCAAAAACTTTTAGGAAGTTGGTGGAACGAAACAGGGTTTTTGAGTTTCTTACAAGACTCAACCCTAAGTTTGATATCATTAGGCAGAATATTCTGGCCAAATATGAGGTTACTCTTGCCTAGGCATATGCTATGGTAAGCAATGAGGAGAGTAGGCGGCAGGTTCAATTATAGAGTTCACCTACGGAACACTTTGCACATGCTGGAATAAAGCCGAATGCCCAATTGAGAAGAAGGAACATGTATGTGAATATTGCAAGAAATTAGGGCATACTAAGGACACTAGCTGGAAGTTTCATCCTGATCTTCTACCTAACCGGTTTAAGAATAGCAACAATTTTAAGAAAACCAGTCAGACAGGAAAGCCTAAGTCAGCTAATGTTGCCATAGTATTTGAAGGAGGAAGTAAGGAGAGTGAAGAGAAGTCAACCATGGAAAGGTTGGTAGCAATGAAGGCAGATTTTGAAAAGTATGGAAGGTTGTTAAATTAGTTGGAAGCTACTGTCTCTACATCTCACTCTCCAGGCAACACATCATCATCATCAGCATTTGCTCACTCAGGAATTCGTGCTTCTGCAAACCATGCTTCAATTTCAGGTAATCATAAAATCCCTTGGATCATTGATTCTGGTGCATCAGACCATATGACCAGCTTGTCTAATCTTTTTTGTTCATACCACCTCTCTGGTAGAGAGAAAATCTCCCTTGCTGATGGGTCTCTTGCTCCCATTTCTGGCAAGGGGGATATCAAGACCTCTGACACCCTTTATTTATCCTCTGTCATTCATGTCCCTAAACTTAATACAAATCTTTTATCTGTTAGCAGCTTAACTAAGTCCATGAATTGTAGCATAACCTTCTTTCCCACTCATTGTGTTGTTCAGGACTTGCAATCTCAGAGGATGATTGAGAGTGGCCATGAGGCAAATGGAATATACTTGCTAGACATACTTGATAGAGTTCTTGGACCACCTCATGGAGTTGCCTTGGAGTCAGTTTTGTCAGAGTCTGTTGACAAAGTCATGTTATGTCACTTTCGGTTTGATAATTTGTCTTTTTCTGCTTTGAGTCATTTATTCCCAGATATGTTTAAGGGAGTGTCTTTATCTAGTTTTCATTGTGAGTCATGTGAATTGGCAAAGCATTATAGACAATCTTATTCAGTAAGCAATAAAAGATTTATTTCTCCTTTTCATATTGTTCACTCTGATGTGTGGGGGCCATATCATTTGCCTACTATGGGGGTTACAAGTACTTTATCCTTTTGATGATTACTCCCGTTATACTTGAATTTATCTCATGAAATCCTAGGATGAAGTACCAAATATTGTGCAAAAATTTCATGAACTCATTCTTACCCAGTTTAACACCCGAATCAAAATATTCTGTTCTGATAATGCTAAGGAGTATTTTGAGAAAATCCTCTTAGCCTATCTTGAAACTTTTGGGGTTATTCATCAGAATTCTTGTTCGTACACTCAACAACAGAATGGAGTGACGGAAAGGAAGAATCGGCATGTGGTTGAAGTTGCTAGATCCCTCCTTTTTGCATCCCATGTTCCTATAAAATTTTGGAGAGATGCTGTCCTTATTGCTACCTTTTTGATTAACTCTATGCCTTCCTGGGTTCTTGGCTTCAAAACCCCCTTTAGCCTTCTCTTTCCGGATGAGGATCTCTTCCCTCTTCCTCTTCATGTTTTTGGGTGCACCTGCTATGTACATGTTCACAACCATCAAAGGCACAAATTTGAACTTAAGGCTCGTAAATGTGTTTTCCTAGGATATGCCTCCATGCATAAGGGATATTGCTATTTTGATCCGGTTAGTGGCACCCGTTTTGTATCTTGGGATGTCACATTTGCTGAATCTACTCCTTTCTTTAGCATTCCTCCTGAGGGGGAGAAATCTGAGGAACCGTTTACTATGTCTCCAGCAGTTTCTCTTCCTGTTCCTTTTGAGTCATCTGATGAGGTATCCGCTTCTCCCACTAGGCCTACCTCCAGTATTCTTGTTCCTCCTCTTCCACCTCATCCTCCTGTAATTCCTCCTCATCCTGTTCTCCAAAGGTGGTACCAAAGACATAGATTCAGACATGGGCAAGTTTTTCCACTCCTACAGATGAGCCTCTTGTTCCTCCCATCATTACTGAGGTAACAAGTCAGCCTTCCTCTAACCCATCTACTTCTTTCCCAGACCCTGATCTTCCTATTGCTCTTTGCAAGGGCAAGTGGAAGTGTATTACCCATTGTATCTCTAAACACCTGTCCTATAGCCTTCTATCTCCTACCTACTATTCTTTTCTTGCTTCTGTTTCTTCCCATGTGATACCTAGGTCTATACCAGAAGCCCTATCTAAACCTGAATGGAGGGATGCTATGATGGCTGAACTGGATGCTTTGCATAAGAACCATACCTAGGATATTGTTGACTTGCCAGAAGGGAAGGAACCAGTGGGTTGTAAATGGGTATTTGCCATTAAATATCATTCTGATGGCTCTATTGAGAGGTTTAAGGCCAGGCTGGTTGCTAAAAGGCTACACTCAGATGTGTGGTATTGACTATCTTGAGACCTTTGCTCCTATGGCTAAGATGACCTCAGTCCAGGATTTGTTGTCCCTAGCTGCTACTTTTGAATGGCCTCTCCACCAGTTTGATGTTAAAAATGCCTTCTTGAATGGAGATCTACATGAAGAGGTCTATATGTCTTTGCCTCCGGGATTGTATGGAAAGGAAATGCAAGGGAAGGTGTGTAAACTGTAGAAATCCATTTATGGTTTCAAATAGTCTCCTCGAGCTTGGTTTGAGAGATTCAGGGCTGCTTTGGTGACCCTGTTCTTGAAGAGAAGTGTCTCTCTGGTGACCTTTCTAATAGTTTATATTGATGATATTGTGGTCATGGGTAATGACACCCAGGAGGTTAGTAAGCTCAAAAGGTTTCTTAGCTCTGAATTTGAAATCAAGGATTTAGGAGATCTCCCATTTTTTTTGGGCATTGAAGTTGCTAGATCTAAGGATGGTATCTTCATTTCTCAATGCAAATATGTCCTTGACCTCCTTGTTGAGACTGGTAAACTTGGTGCTAAACCAGCCTCCGCTCTTATTGATCACAATCATAAGCTTTCTACTACAGATGGTGAACTTTTATCTGATAGAGGAGTGTTTCAGAGACTGCTTGGGAAGTTGTTATATCTCTGCATGACTTGGCCAGCCATTTCCTATGCAGTGAGTGTTATTAGTCAATTTATGCATTATCCCAGAGATAATTATTTAGCTGTTGCAGAAAGAGTTTTGTGTTACTTGAAAGGTACTCTAGGGAAAGGCATTCTATTTGCCAAACATGGACACATGAAGTTGGAAGCATACATTGATTCTGATTGGGCATGATGTATTGATAAAAAAAAGTGATAGGTTATTGGTAAAAAAAAGGAGACAAGCAATAGGGAGAGTGTATGTCTGTATGTATATAACTCATCAAATGGAAAAATAAAAACAAAATAAGTAAAAGCATGGAGCCCCTATTATTTTAAATGCAACAAAGATACACAGAAGAAAAAGAGTGTGTGTGTCTGTGATGTATATTATTTGCAACAAGGAAAAAAAGAAAGTGAAGAAAAGAGAAGGGAAAACCCCGCTCTACTAACAGATAAAAACATAGACATGAGCGATTTGAAAGAGAAAACATTAAAAAATGGAGGGGCAAACATCTTATTTTGCCCCAGATGTATGTATAATGACAATAATGATGCTCTGTTTTGCAAAGAATATCATGCTGAAGCCTCCTAAAGAAAACCATACCATAACGAGTGTATTTTTCTTCCATCACTGTCTTGTTGTTGCTTTTCTTCTTGCCTTAAACCCATTTTATGCCTTTTTGAATTGAAAACTTGTTTTTTATGATATCCTTTTACCCTTTTGGCTTTTCATTATACAAATGAAAAGTGTAGTTGTACTAGACCAAAAATTGGTACACAGCCTATATGAAAGTACCAAGGTGAGGCCCAAGGCATTCCCCCAAAACCCCTTATTGCCTAGGTGTCACCTTGACAACTGTGGCTTTCTCTTTGTTATCATACTAAAGAATGCATGGATGAGTGGTAGATTGCCAATCTTCTCTACCTCAACTGTTGCTTAGATCTTGATTGTATCCATTTGTTTGCATTGTTATTTGGTTTGTGATATGGATTATGGAATGGATATAAAAGTTCCTGCTTGTTTTGCCAATATATTTTTGTATTTGCAACTCTGAACGAGTATTTTTACCTCAAAGTGTTGCATTATATTCAAACTTTCAGAGAGGTTTTTGACTTGTGGAATTTGAACTTGAGAATTACAGTGGAGTTTTACCTAGGGAACCAATGCCTTCAAATATCACTGTGAGGCTCCCAACTCTGGAGGAATTAGATGCCTATGCACTTGAGCAATGGGAGGTTGTCATCCAGCAAAATATATCATCTTGGTCTATCTAGTTTGCATGTTTTCTTTGGGCAGTAATTCCAGTTTTACCCATCTTGTGTCTTAAAGTGGTCCTCTTGTCAATTTGTAGTTTTATTAAATTTCAGGTTACTCTTTCTTATGACTTGAAATTGTGATAAACCAGTGCTTCTTGCTACAACTCATTAGCTCATCCCATGCTGAAAGGCTAACAAACTTCAGCCCTTCTATGATGAAAGTTTTCCAGCGAGGTCTTTTAAGTCAGAGGTCTTTCCCTTACATTCTTTCTTTTTAAAATTAATCTATTTCAGCATGTTCTTTTTCGTCCAAGAAAAAGCATGTCCTATTTTTCAATTATAATGACTAATATTTGGAATGTTCATACATGCTTCTCTGCCTTTTTCCACAGAGAGAAAGGACCAAGGCTAACTGAGAGTGGTTTCCAGTTCTTGGTGCACATTATTTTGACCACAAGCTACTTCTGTCAATTTTAAACAACACCAAACAAAATTTCTGTTATTCCTCATTAGAATCTTATTCTATGTGTAAACTACAGTTGATGGATACAAATGCACAACTTTGGTACATTATCAGAGAATACATCTCTAATTCAGAGGTATGGACCTTGATGGTTTTAATATGATGGAGGCTTATTTATTTCTCAAGACCCTGCATATCCTTTTTTGTCCAAAATTTGATCTGTATTTTTTCTTGGGATATCACATTTCTCACATGTTTCATGTAATCATATCTGAGATTAGCATGAGATTTCTTGTTTTTATTTTCATTACCAATGTATATTTAAGGTTCTCACTACTATTTTCAGTGTCATTTAAGGAGTAGCCCTCAAGGCACCCCTTGGGGTGATGTTTCTTCAAAATGCCTTGAGGTGCATTAGTGAAGAGCCCTTGTCACATGAAGTGTAAGCTTCATGGTTTGAGGTCTATATGAAGCATAGAGGCACACACATCAAATATGCTTCAACCTGAAGATCACATGCTTGAAGGTTTGAGGTGCATACATATATAGAGATATACACATCGTAAAAGCCTACCATATTGGACATTTTAAAATGTGATTGGTAATTATTTGATAAACAACTCTATGCAGCAAAACAGATCCTTTACATATTTAGCCTATTAGATTGTCTTTTCAGTAAACACCCATGAATATTCATTCAACACCAAACTGCACACAAAGTATGCAGCAAAAGAAGCATACAACATTGGACCTCCCAAGAGAGGCCTTACCACAATTAACAGCAGAAGCAAAAACAAATGACAGCAACTGGTTATACATATTACAAATTAGCAGCTGGTCCCGGACATCCCCAATCTAAACAAACTTTTCCAACCCCGGCCTTATCCAGAGAATCAGCTATCATGTTGGCACTCCTAGGCACCCACTTGAACGAGGGTTCAATGCAGCACCTAGAGCTTGAGCCAATCTGACTAGAAGTCCTGAATTTTCATGGAATTTGACTTTGACCTGCCATCCAACATAAAACCACTTGACAATCACCCTCTACTTCCACATTCCTTAAATCCTGCCTAGCCAACAACTTCAAATCTTGAACCAAGACCAGAAGTTCAGCCCTCGAAGAATTTCCTTGGCCCACCAGATCTGAAAAGCTTAGAATGATACTGCCCCCATGTTCTCTAACAACTCCCACCACACCCAAGGGCCCCAGATTTCCAGCAGCAGTCAAAGTTGAGTTTGAGCATCTCTATATCAGGAGGGGACCAATCCACCACTGTTCGTTATACTTATAAAAATGACCATCTGAAGTTAACTGCACATGCTAAAAATAAATAGAAAAATATATGGGTTAGGTTATTAAAGTTTTTAAAATATATTGATTTAAAAATTTGATTAAAAAGCAAATTATGAAAATAAAAAGCAGGATTATAGTGTTTTAGTAAAACTGGAATGTTATTACTTATGCATTAAAAGACATGTCTGTTAGCCCATGCCTTGAGGTTTTTGCTCATGCTTCAGACAAATGGAATGCTTCAAATCGTGCTTCAGTATGTTCTTACATTAATATGTTTTTTTTTTTTTTTGTCTTTATTTTCCTATGATGATCAGTAAATTTATGTTACATAGAAAATATAAAATGCAGAAGGGGATATTTTGAGTGTGGATTTAGCAAGAATAGGAACTTATACTAGCCACTGTTTTACATAGTTCTTTGTAGAAGACCTAATAATTTTAGTTGGTTATTTGTGACATCTCTAATGATTTGCTTTTCATCTTTGTGATGCAGGACCGAGGTTTGGATCCTGCAGATTTGATTTCATTTCTCTTAGAGCTTAGCTTCCATGCCACAGGAGAGGTAATAAGAAGGGCTGTAGACATGATTACTTTGAAAGCTCCAATAGCATGCTTTAACTTCTAATGGACTATATTGCATTATTCATTCTGGAAATTCAGTCAACTCTTCTTGCCTTTAGTTACAACTAATTGGGCAATCTATGTGCGCAAGTGAGATGATCTCTAATACACTCTTCATAAAAAAAAAGAGACAGATGATCTGTAATACCATATTGGACCTTGTGAATTGACTCCTGGGTTCCCTTTGGTTTCACAGTGACGTAACTTTCACAGCTATTGTATTTTGTATTGCTACAGACCATCTGAATTCTCATATTAACAAGATACCTGACATAGAGAAGCTTTTTACAATCTTTCAAATGTAATTTAACAAATGCAGATTCTTTAGTAGTCTATCCCCAACAAGCCATGTTCTTTAATAAGTAATGAATTGCTAGCCACAAATAAATATCCAAACCAAGTGAACTGTCAAACCTAGTAACCATTGATTCAAATCTGTTCAGTAAGAGATGCATTTCAAGATGGGTTTTCCTTTTATCCTTTATGTGGTTTTAGAGAGCTTTCTCCATTAATAACAGATTTTGAAAAGTATACTCTTTTGATTTCTGGGACTAATCATTTTTTCTTTATGTTTTAGGCCTATAACATAAACACCTTGACTGAGATTCAGAGAAGCATTATCAAGGATCTTGCAGACTTAGGAGTAGTCAAACTTCAACAGGTAATCATGACATGATTATTCTTGTTATAGAACAGAAGAAATATCTTTTCCTTGGTAAAATGAGGCGCCCATTTTTATATTAGAATCTGAAACTTTGAAATATTTCTTGTTACTCCAGGGTCGAAAGGAAAGCTGGTTTATTCCTACTAAATTAGCTACTAATCTTTCAGTTAGCTTGTCGGATTCATCATCACGCAAACAGGTTTCTTGTTAATTTTTCTCTTCAAAATGTGGTAAATGAATGAACTGTAGCTCTTACCTGATGCGTGCGTATGTGTATGGATATTTCCTACTTGAAGTGTTGGACTTTAGAAATAGGAAACATGAGACCATCCCAAAAACTATTATCTCATTAGACACACCCATTGATATCTCAGCAATGCGAGTGTACATGCATGTGTGGATACTACCCGTTATGATTTTTATGTGGATAATTCCTACTTGAAGTGCTCGGCTTTAGAATTGAGAAATGGGTGCAAAATGCCATGCCATTATTATGCTGTAAAAAGAGAATTGAAACATTCCAAAAACTGTTCTCATTAGACATACTTGTTGAAATTTCAAAAGAAGCATGGTTACACAGTTTTACATTATTTTATGAATAGCATGTCTTCACCTTCTTGGTTTAATTTAATAAATTTATCTCCCAGGAAAACAAAACTTCAATACAAACTTACAAAACTTAACACTATATGGCTGTTAATCCTCCTTAGGGTTCATTATTTGCTTGCATCCTATTTCTTCAATAATCTTATTATTTAGATATTGCCGGCCTTCCACTGTGTAGGGAAGTGGAGAAGGGGGCATAAAACTAATGATTGTTTGACTATCTTTAACAAGTTGGTTATGTGCAAAACCTAGAACTTTCAGTTTTAACAGTTCTATGCAGAAAAGCTGATATTTCAGTGTGATCCGGGGGAGGGGGGAGGGTTTCCAAAACATTTTGGACATTGTAGAAATGCTGTACCTAGAAAAGAAACAACTGAATTCGTCCTTGTCCCCTAACTAGTGTTTCTTATGTCAGTTGAATGGTGAGACTACTTTTCATCTCTTAATCTCTTGTTTGCTGTATTTAGGATTATTTTTCTCTTTTTGGTTTTAGGTGGAACCCTCCTACCAGTTGGAAAGGTTGTTTAGTCTGTCTGTTTTGAGAAGCACAAAAAGGAGGGGCGAGATACTGTGGAAATGCACAAGGGCAGCAGTGATTTGGACGGTGTGGGAAGAAAGAAACACAAGAATCTTTGGGGAGAAGGAGAGGGGTAAGGAGACAATGATAGAACTCATAACTCTAACAGTAGCACTTTGGGTGAAGACCTTGAAACTATTTTCAGACTTTAAGGTGGAAGATTTGTAATCTTAGGAGCTGTACTCGAAGTAGCAAAGAAGAGAAGAGAACCTCTGAAATGCAGTGAATGTCGAACAGTACCTGCCAGTCGACCATGCTATTATTTATGTTTGAATGTAGTACAAGGTACAAGAAATTACTGGGATGCCCCTGATTAGTGATGGGACACCCAGATGACTTAAATCATTAAACAGGATTAGGCCCATTAACACAGGCCCAGTTACAAGATAAGTTAAATATAAGTATGGGCTAATAAGAACTCTTATCAGC